TACTTTGTCTACCAAAATTTCAATCTTAATCATGACTATGTGATGTTCCCTTGACATTGTCTCGGACCAATGTTATTAAAACATGTAATTATCAATTATATTTTATTTATTTTAAGATTCAAATGAATTCGAAACAGATACATACACACAGCAAATAAAACTTTATCTATGTAAAAAAATTCATTAAATCTACAGGTTTTAAAGCATTTCTTTTATTGATATAAAATCTTTTAATTGTTGTTGTATCTAGCGAATTGTTATTCATAAAGAAATTTTGTAGAAATCTTGTCATTGCTATCCTAGTATCTAATCCATAATAACGCCAATCAATCCAGATTTTAATTACTTCTAAATTTAATGGAATATTTGAATTTGTTTCTGTAGTTGATGCTAGAATCTAAAATGGAAGAAGAATATTAAGATAATATTTATAAAAAAAGGTCTAGACAACGACTATCTTTCTACGACCCTCTATCTGTTTATGATAAAAGATTTCAATGAAAAAGTATTTTTATACATACTCTGTTTTGTTTTGCATAGTGGTCTTTTTCAAGATGAACTTCATTTACTATTAAATATTTTAATTTTGGTAGACAAAGTAATAACTTTTCACTTAATATATTAAAACGTATTCTCGTATGTGTCACATATCCACAATTACGATGCCAAGGGATACCTATTGAAATAAATAAGACATAGGTATCGAAAAACTGATGACTTACTTCCAATTATAAGAGTTTCTATATCAGATAATGATTTATCTCCTATTATTAATTGATAAAATATTAAGTTAACGTAATCATCATCTCTGTTGATACTGTCCGTGCATTGATATGTATATGGTTCAAAATTTAATTGCAAATGTTTTAATAATTTCATTTTTGATGATATTAAATTGCAACATAATACTAAATATGTAAAATCGAGTTTTGTATCTTAGAAATAATTAAATACTATTAATCTTACAATCTGTATAATTGCTTCCTCCAGGTTCTTCAGTGATTTTACGACGTAAACATAATCGTTCTAATTTTTCATATATTTTAATTGTTTCATCGAACACTATATTGTATACAGTTTTGACACGTATGTTTGATAATGTTAATGACTTTAATTTGGAGAATGTTTCTTTAAATAGATCATTTTCAAATATTAAATTAAGTTTATATTTATCATCAGCTACAAGTGATGGAGCATAGTTTTGATTTGTTGTTATTAATTGATTTAAGTGACAACAAAATGTTGGAAGTTTTTCATGTGGAACTAAACACAAATCAATTTGAACTCTTGTTTGATATAGAATTAATTGTTTAAAACGTTGATTTAAACAAAAAAATATTTCATATAGATTATAGAAATCAAGATAAGAAAAACACTTTAGTATTAACTCATTTGGTAGATATTCAAAATTTGCCATTGAAGTTGTTATTAAATCTAAAAAATATGTCAAGAATTACAATAATTAATAAGACTTACGATTGATTGCTTATCATTTCTAGATGTGTGTTGTTACAAGTCTTGGTGGAAAATGCTGGAAAAGAGAGAAAGAAAAAAGTACAGAAAATTTAAAGGAGTTGAAAGTAACTAATGGAAATGATGGTACATGTGCAGAATGAGCACTCCATCGATGTATACATATACAAAGACAGAATAGACAAATCATTGTTTGAATAGGAAGATCACAATTGAACAGAAAAAGGCTCTATTCATAAAAGATGTCGCTATTTAAAAAAGATGTCATTAATGAAAGATTGACATTTATTGAGAGAAAAAAAGAAAAAAAACTTATGAAACAGGATAAAGTGAATTAATTTGTAAAATTCAATTTTCAATGGCTCATCACTAAATTCATACCACAATAGATATTCTTCTAAATAAGATTGAAGTAATGGTCGGCAAAATCCACCTTGTTTTTTCTGCTTTTCCTTAATTTTCATCCATGTATTTTCTATGTTTTCAGTGTGTACGCCAGTATTTGGATCAACAAAATTAACAGAATGATTAACTGTTAAATGATTGTAATCTGCATCATTTTGTAAACCCTGATAGGCTCGCCATTCATCTGAATGAATGGTTATTCCTAATAAAAAGAAATACACATTATTTGATAGATCACAAATTAGAAACATTATCAGGTAAAACATGATCATGAATAATCGGCAATAATGTTGCAGCCTTTCTGTCGTTAACACCAACTAAGAATCTAATATTTGTTGTAAAGTAAGCCGACTCTTTGTAAAAAAAAGTGCTATCAAGTAAAGAACGAGAAGACTGACATGTTTGACAAGGCCACTTCCATTTGTCTTTTGCCTTAGCACAAGCGCCTAAATACCAGTTATTGTACTTTTGAGGACATATCTGAGTTGGATAAACAGCTTATAAACCGATTCTTTGACAAAAAAATCAATTGATTTTTCCACTCTAGAAGTAAGTTCATTCCATTCGTGAATAATTAAATCATCGAGAGCAGGTGATAGAAAACAAGCCATTATAATTTGTAAATGATTCGAGAGAAATATTCTTATTTATAGTGTTTCTTTCATATTAGTCTTAAACTTATCAATCGTTTAATTAGTATTTCCTTTTCAAATTAATTATTTTTTTGATCTATTACTTCCACATATATAGAAAGCGTGTGCCCTGCAAACACCAATCATGTTTCTTTATTCACTTTGAATTAAGTCAGTCTGATTGAGGCCTTATTCTTTTACTATTTAACATGCTATAATATCCAATTAACTGATAATATAATAAAATGGAAACAATATTTCAAGGAAAATTGTGAGATGTTGTTTTCACTTCTGTTTTATTTCTATAAACGTGTCTCTTTAAAAAAACCTCCCTTCTTAACAACAACGAAACACTATATATAGTGATAACAACCGTTGGAAAATTCCCAATGGAAAATTCCATAAGAACGAACAAAAGAAAGAAGAACATAATGACTGGGAAAAGTCCCATAGCTAACGAGGAAACACCCGATATG